GAATTTCCATATGACCCAGCTATATACTATCCTTGGGTAGTTGCTCAAAAGGGCTCCCAGCTCAACAATAGGCTCAACGGTGTAAGGAAAATGTGTATGTGCGTATATATGGTGGATCTATCTATCTGTCTATAGTGGGATTTTTCTTTCATAAATAGTGAAGTCATGTCACATTCAGGAAAATGGAGCAGCCACAGATAATCACATTGAGCAAATCAAGCCAGCTTCAGAAAGGTATGTTTTCTCTCATTTATGATTTCTCTCATTATGGATACCTAAAATCATGTATGGATGTATGACAAGAAAGCAGAAGTAAAGCTGTCAAGGGGACAAAGGATTAAATGGAAGGGGAGGGACAAGCAAAGAGGGGGGACGGGGATGAGGAGGAGGAGAACGCTCCCACATAATATGTGTATTCATCAATTTAAAAAATTAATTAACTTAAGACACTTTTACATTTTTTAAAAGTTAAAAAAGAGAGCCTGCACATGGCAGGTCCTTAGGAGGCGGGATTAAGACACAGCTCTCTGGAGGCTGCACTGAACCCCAAGTTCAGGGCTGTCCCCCACCTCTCAGAAGGCCAGGTCTGCCAGACGCTTTCTTCTCAGTCATTACTCTCTTGTCTCACAGAGTCTTCTGGAAGGCCATGTTTTCAGGCCCCTCCCCTTCAGGTAACCAAGCAAGCCTCAGCTTTGATGTGGCCACCTCAAGGCATTGCCGTCAATGGGCCCACTATCTGACCTGCAGGGCCACCAGGGGCTGCCGGTTAGCTGTAATGGGTGCGGATGAGGCCTGGACACACAGTCCCACTGTGTGGGGCTGGCTCATACCCACCCAGACCCTGTGGGCAGTGGGGGGCTCCTAGGAACTCCTTTCCAGGCTGGGGGTGAGACAGAAAGGGTGGTTTGAGGAGATGGTGTTTGCAGTGCGGCCTCAGGAGCCGCCATCAAAGAGGCTTGGAAGGCGCCATAATGGGTGGGGAAAGACAGATGGTCACCATCTCCCGCAGGGTCAGTGGAGGAGGAGGCCATGGGGTCATATACTCCGGGTGACCAACCACCAGAGCAGCCTGTGACTGGGGGGCCTCCCTGTTGTTAGCTACAACCTGAAACTCAGGAAAGGACATAGTCCTCTCTCCTGTTTCCTCTCTATCCAGTGACATCCAAGTCGGGTAATTTGAGTAGATATGCCTGAAGCCATGTTGTCAGCCCCCTGCCATCAACAGGTATGCCCTATGCCTGAGAGTCCAGTGCCCTTTTCTCCCAGATGTCTAAGGGGTAGGGTCTGAACTGCCCATGCGCTCACCCCAGCCTCTGCTAAGAGGACAGAGGCCAAACAATCAGACGCCTGTCCTGTGCAGGGGACCCTGAGTGCATGACCATCCCCAGGACCACACAGAGCATCTTTCTGCCCTTGGGGTCTTGAGATCTCCGGACCTCACTCTGTTATCTTTCTCTTTGTCGCCTGCTTACCCTTTAAGACTTGGTACTGTCACTCCCATGTTCCCCGTCTTAGCCACGCGTCACATGCCTGCCTATGTCGTTGCTGTCCATCTCTTACTCTGCCAACATGCTCTACCTATGCTCCCAGGATGGAGACCTCTCGCTACCCTCGGGAACCAGCTCCTGGCAGGAGGCCAGCCTGTGACATCGTCGGTAGAGCAGTTGCTCTGATCCGAGCCCTCTGTTCATTTGCTTTTGTTCATAGCCCCCACAAGATTGGTGCTGCTACGATCTCCCACAGAAGGGGAAGTTGAGGCACAGGGTGGTGAAGAGACCTGCCTGTGTTAGCTAGGAACAGGCAGCGCCCCGGTATGACTTAGAATCCACCGCCAGCGCCTGGACCTGGCAAGCTTCTGTGGAATGGCTGAATTAGAAAGTCAAAGCTATTTCTGTACCGGCTACCTCTAAATCTGCATGCAGATAGTACAGCCCACTTCCTTAGATGCCCCCCAAAGGCTTCTCCATGGGGGTGGGAGGCCTGCTGGTTGAGGTGCTTGGGTGCCAAGGAAGGCCTTGAGTAGCCTTAGGGTGATGTTGTCAGCCCCCAACAGAGCTAAAGATGCCCTCCCGAACCCTCCATCCTCTCCTTGGCCTTTGCTGCAGGTTGGGGTCCTCTCCCTGCCCACTTTCCACTTCCTTCCTGGGAAAAGCCGGGGAAATACTGGGCCCATGAAGTACCTGTGTCAAGGGCAGGACTGAGAAGGCGTGAAGGGCAGGCTGGGCACCTTCTGGAAGGTTCTATGTAAGCCCTGACTGTAGGAGGCCCAATTGTCTGTCCCCTGTTCTTCCAGAGGCCCCAGATGTCTGCTGTGTGCTGATGCCCAGAGGCATGGAGACACAGAACCCTGTGAAAACGTAGATGAAGCCATTCTCGTCTGGTCTACGGGGACTCTGAGTCGACGGAGCTTCCTGACAGTGCAGAGGACCCACCCTGGGTCGGACGCAGCCCGAGGAGCGTCAACTCTAACTCACATGTCCCCTTTACCAATGAAAGAATAGGATTCAGAGAGGTCAAGCGGTTGCTTGGAGTCACACAGCACATGGACATTAGGGGCAGGCAGAGGACTGGGCCTTCTGCCAGCACCGCCCAAGTCAGCTTGTGTGAGTTTCCAGACCCAGACCCGACACACACTGACTGCACAGTCTGAGACCGTGGAACTGGAACATGGCATTTTCCAGTTCTGTAGGAGAGTGACTGAGAGTCTCGCTGAGGCAATGAGGAAGGCCGGAATTTGGGGAAAGCTGGGGAAGCAGACCCTGTGGGAGAATGAAGACGGGCTCCTTTCTGAGAAACCCCCACAGGTGGATCCCAGAGTCAGAATGTGAGAACGCATCGGCGCTAAGTTCTTGACCTGAGCAGAAATCCCAGGGGTCCATGAACCCTACTGGAAATAATGAATTTTCCCTTGTTAGCAACTATGAAACAATATTTAGCATCTTTTTCCACCACGATGGTGTCACCAACGGAAACCACAGATTGTTTTCGATCTCAAGAAGGTTGTGGCAGATGACCCTTCACTATCTCTCATCAGCGTTCATCACCCCAGAGCTACACTGGGTTTTGGATCCACAGGGAGGACCACTGTCATTCCGGTGTCTCCAGAGAGGCCCACGGTCACAGTCCACAAGGGCCGTTATAGATTGCAAACTGTTTCCCTGAGTCTGGTACCCTTCAAAAATCCTTTTGATTTTGTTCTGTCTTTAATAGTATGATTTGAGAAGTCGCAGGCTTCCTGAGGGTCCAGGATGGTGTGTGGATTCAAGGGGACCCTGAGGCTGGAGCTATGAGGGCTCTGAATTAGGGAGCTGAACCCGAGTGGACAGGTTTAAAGGAGAGAGACGAGACAGGATGTCTTCTTGGGGTCTCCAGGCTGCGTGGCGACGGTGACTCTGACACCTTCCACCCTGCTGACCAGAGACCAGCCATTCAGCTCAGTGACCTCTCTCCTTTTCCCATGTTTTGGGTCACAGCTGCTGCGGTCCCCTCTCTGTCCTCCTATCTCAAACTGCCACATCTAAGGCTTTGTGTCAAGAGTCCATCTCAGGCAGCCAGCACTAGCCCTGTCTTCCAAGGTTTCTTTGTTTTAAGCTCAACTTCTCTCCATCTTGCTCAGGGAGGGAGAAACACAGATTACAAAGATCCAGCAACTGGTTTTTATAAAGTCCCATTTCTTTGCTCAGTAACTGCCTTTAATTAACACTGAAGACTACAAAGAGTGCCAAGTGCAACAACAGCAGAGGCTGCAAGGGACAGGACCTGGGGCCACCATTTGTCACCAGACACAGTCAGGTTTGGAGTAAGCATCCCTTCTCCCGTGGCTCAGTCACTATCTGAGCACACAACCTGCCTCCGGCTCCTCAGATCACCGGGAAAGAGATGTGCCTTACTCTTAGGCAAATTCTTGCCACACAGACCCACAGGTCTCCAGGTCCTCTAGAACCAAATGCTGAGCACCGGCTGTGGTTACAGTTAGCCAGAGCTGGGCATGCAGACCTCTGTGTCTCGTTTGGTCACCTCGACTCAAAACAGGCAATGTCTCCCAACCCTAGAATTCTAGAACATTCTGCCCCGTCTTCTGTAGAGAAGCTTTCCCCTGAGCAACCCAGAGGTATCGCCCCATGAACAGCTCAGATAACAGAACACCACAGCTAGAGGGGACGCCATCTGGAGCAGAGAGGTTAAGTGACCCATATCGGGTCACTCATCAAGGTTGGCACAGCCCGGGGCTGAAGTTTGGGGACCACAATCTCCTGATCTCAGGCGCCACAGCCCCATGGGCTCCTGCAAAGGGTCAGGAAAGTGGCCGGGGGATGTAAAGTCAGGGTACCTCAATGGCCAGAGGCAGGGCATGTCTTCCTGAGGTTTAGCCTAAGTCAGAGGCTCCTCATCAGATATCCTGGTCCCTATCCTTGCTAAGGGACACACCCCAGAACTCTTGGTCCTCCTGGGCCATGAATAGAGACAGAAACTACCCCCAAAACACCTTCTTCTGGGAGCAAGCCCTTAGACTTTGCAGGGACAGAGTATCTGTCAGTGTCCAGCAGACTCTCGTAGAGGCCTGCGGCTTCTGTTCCCTCCCTCTGTCCCCACTGTTCTGAGCGCACAGAGAGTGCAGAGGATGGTCCCTAAGATCCGTGGGTCCAGGTACAGCCCTGGCCCTGTTTGCCTCCCATGGCCCCCAGACACATCTGACCTCAGTCCGTCTGAGCCCTCATCTAGGCAGACAGGCCCTGGTGCCTTGTTCTTTCCATCCCGGGACCCTCTGAGGTTTAGCTTTTGAGGTCTACAGGGAGCCACTGCCTCTGCCACACGCTCCACCAGCAGAGAATCAAAGTCACATAGCAACGCTCATGCCAGGAGACCACCGAGGCCACTGATCCCTCTCCCCACCTAGCTTCTCAGAGGCCAGCCATTGGGGTGGCTGGAGGGTTATGGTCTGAGGCCCTGACAACGCCCCACCCGGGAGAGCCAAGCAGAGCCCCACCATGGCTACTCACCTCGGATGAAGGTCGGTGTGTAGTTGGGGAAGGAGTCGAAGATACTGTTGGAGGCCATACCCCAAGCTGACAGAGGCAAGGACTCGGCCTCAGGGGGTTGGGTTCGGACTCACTTGGTTGGCTGCTGTTTTGTTATATATTTTTTTCAAGCTGCTTTTGAAAATAAAAGGGGGGAGGTGTTGCTTTTCGTTTGTTTTTTGGTTTGGTTTCTTTTTTCTCCCCCTGCTGCTACGAAAAAGAAAAAAAAAGAAGAAAAAAAAAAGGAAAGAACGCGAGAGTATCTGTGGGCGAGAGGGAAGAAAATCTCCAAGGAAAGAAAGTTTCGGTTTGTACCCAAGAATTTGGCTTCCCGGTCCCACAGGAATGTCTAGCCACAAATTTTCAACAGCACTATGTGCAGAGTATCATTAAATGGTGGGAAGGGGCTCTGGACAGCCAGGGCGGAGGAGCCTGGGGCTGCAGCAGAGAGACAAGCCTCAGCAGCGGGAATGAATGAATGAATGAATGAGGCTCACCCTCCACAGAGCCCAGGCTGTGGTGGGGGCCAGGACGGCCAGGGGGTGGGGACGCCAGGAGCCAACCAGCTCCTCTCAGGGCCCTGGAGGCAGCGAGGGCCTGGCCTTGTGGTTCTGTGGTTGAGGGACCAGGCCTTCCCAGTGTCAACCCAAGCTCACATCACAGGATGCAAGAAGCCAGCTCGCGGCAGGGGCCCATTGGCTAGGCCACTGTCACCTGGGCCATGATGTCACCGCCCCTTAGAAGATCTTGTGGCTACCCCCCCCAACTTCTTTGAAGGCTGAAAGGAAAAGAATAAAAAGAGAGAAAAGGTAGGGCTTCTGTTTGCGAGCCTGGCTTCATCGCACACCCCAGGGGACGGAGCTGGGGACCATGGAGTGGGCAGCAGGTTGTGGTTTGCAGTGGCCTAGGAGACCCTTTCATAATGAAGGGCAGTGGTGGCCTGGCTGCTCTTCCCCAGGAGCCGGAGCTCAGCCCCAGCAGAGAGTGGAGGACCCCTCACCATTGCTGTCACTGCCCCAGGCTGCGGCTGACACCCTGCCATGTCCGTCACCACGCTGCCAGGCAGAGGCGTCCACATGTGTGGCTGGGTGGCACTTCAGGGGGTTTTATGGGAGTTGGGGTTTATGTACAAATGGGAAACACATGATACGGCTGCTGCGGCCTGCCCACCAAGAAAGGCCTGGCTTGGGAAAGCTGTGGCATGGCCGCGCTGGGACGGCCCCTGCTCTCTGCTGGAGCCTGCAGCCTCGGCCCTTGCCACGCCCGTGGGGTGTATGGCCAGGGAGACTCCGAGATTCCTGCCTCAGGGCCTTTGCCTCTGACAGGCCTTTCCTGTGCCAAGACTCGGAAGGGCTCAAAAGACGTGGACAATGCATCCCTCTTGCTCATCTTCTAAGAACCCGGCCAGGTGGGAGGCACGGGGAGCGTGGCTTTTCCTGTTTTCCGTCGCAATTCATAGACCTCATCATGGAGGCCAGACCGTGAAGGCAGCATGCCTAAGATCTCACAGCCTTTTAGAATGGGACTACAACTTCTACCTCATGCCCTCTTACGGAGGCCTCAACTGTTGTCACGGCCTCAGCTGTCCTTTAAACTGTCCCAGACTTCAGACAGGAGACCACACGGGCTCTCACCAGACTCTGGGACAGGGTCTAGGCCCAGTGCCAGCACTGACTCAGGTCTAACATTGGGGAGCAGGGGATGTTTTAAGGACATGGACCTTTCTGCCCCTCAGCTACACTGGGTACCCTATCAGGAAGAAGTCCCTAAATGTGTCCCATCTGAACTGTAGGCTCAGTCCTCTGCCCCATATGCAAGCACAGTAATAAGTACTTCCAAGGTTGGACAGAATTTGAGTTCCAGCTGAGGGTGATAGCAGAAGCGCTCTGGAGACACTTTTGGGTCCTGAAACTGCTAGACACTGGGGCCTTCCACTTCCTTTCCCTGGGCCTCAGTTTGTATTCCTGTAAAATGGGGATGACACTGTGGTTGGAGGAACCTTGCTGGTTGAGGGCATGACAACACTGGTTTCCTTGGCAGAGTCTCCATGACGCAACAGGGCTCCATTATGAGTAAGCCAGGCAGGGAAGCAGCACAGCCGTGTAAAGAGAACTCTTCCCTCCCGCTAGTGCCATAAATGCGTCAGCTGGCCTGGCCTGGCCTGGGCTGCCGGGGTCGTTGGTGGAGGTGGCGCCTGCCTAGGGGTCCTTCTGAGCAGTTTGGAGCTGTGCAGTGGGAAGACCTCCTTTTTCTAGAAATGGAAACTGAACCCCACTCCCCACCCCCCAGTGGGCAGACTCATCCAAGCACCCGAGTGAGTCAGTGGGACCCGCTGTCCCGTTCCCAGCCGAGGCTGTTTCCACCCTGCCAACACCACCCCCTCCACTTTCTAACTTCTCACCCCACCTCGCTGGTTTTTCCACACCTACGAGTGCCCCCCGAGCTCCTGTCACATGCTCACCCTGAGGGGCTCTCCCTCTCTAGAAACTGAGTCGGCCCAGGACCTGGAGGGAAGCCCAAGAGACTTTTGGAGGAACCCAGGGGCACGTCCTAACCCCAGCAATGATTGCAATGCAGCGATCGCCGGGGAGGGCCAGGCAGGCAGGGTCCTCAGCCACCTTTTCCTCCTGGGAGATTTATCATTTCCATTGGGCATGGGGAAAATGAATAGGCTAGAATCAGTCGTGCCTGAAGCCTGGCTTTGGTTTTAAGTCGCTGTGAGATTGCGTGGGCTTCACTCTCCTGAGCTGTCCTACTGGACTCTGAGGCCGATTGTACTTACCCCAGATAGGAAGAGGAGTCAGTGAGAAAATTAGGAATAGTGGCTCATTGTCGGAGTTGAGTTCCCAGCCCCCAGCCCCCTTCGTTCGTTCGTTCCTTCTCCTTCCTCTCCCTCCCCCTTCCTTCCCTTTCTTTTTTCCATTGTGTGCATTTGTATGTATGTAGGACTGAGTATAAGTTTGTGTCCATGTATATATGTGCGGCACTCATACTCATGAAGAGGACAGAGGTTACCCCAGTTGCTGTCTCTCTGGGCCTGGAGCTCATCAAGTAATCCAGACTGGCTAGCGGGTGGGCCCCCGGGTTCTCCTGCTGGCACCTCCCCAGCACCAGGATTGCAAATGAGTGCCACGTACCCAGCTTTTTATTTTCTTAGCATGGGTTCTAGGAATTGAATCTAGGCCCTTGTTCTCTCGAAGGAAACACTACCCACTGAGCCATCCTCCTACAATGTGCTAAAAATGACTGGAGAAGTTCAGTAATAAAAATAAAGAGAATCATAAGAACACAGATAAAAGGTAATCATAAAATGGGATCTTAAAGCCTTGAACTTCACCGGTTCATTTACTTATTTTTGTTTTGGTTTGTCTAGTTTTATTTTTGAGACAAAAGTTTCACTGGCTGGCTCAGGCTGGTCTGCAGTTTGTAGATCTCCTGCTTCAGCCTCTTGAGTAGCCGGAATCCCAGGCCTGCGTCACCAGGCCCCGTTTCAATTTTTTCTTAGCAGCTTGCCTTCACCTGGAATTTTGAAATACTCCACCTAGTTTTCCTAAAACCAGAGTCGAGAGTTAGGTGTCAGACCACCGGCTTATGGCGTCCCACTAGGGTCCAGTCCAGGGAAAGAAGAGACTGGGGGTGAGCATGGGGTGGACTGTCACCGGGATCAACAGGAGAAGATGCTCATGGGAGGGCACCACGAGAGCCCACTCCCTCAGAAGCAGTACTGAGGTGGACTCAGGGCTGACTGGAGGGACAGCATGGGAGGGGCACACGGACAATGACACTGATGATGACGTGACTGGGCCACTCTGGAGAAGACTCCTGTGCCAAGGAACAAAGGGCAGGAAGTTTGGCCTGAGGACCAACTGGACTGGGACCTGCGCCCGAGCCCATGAGGCTCCGTCACTATGGTGTCACACACACCTGCCTCACTCCCGTGGTGGGCGGGAGCGAGGGTGGCCCCTCCAGGGTAACGTGGAAGGACAGGTGTTTCCCAGCAGCAGAGTGCCTGGGGCTGGAAATGAAATCAGTCCTTATCCACAGCAGTGCTGGGACCACGGCTTTGGCCGAGGGCTACTGTGACTCGGGAATCCTGTCAGGAGTTTTGGCAGAAATTCTCAAAGACAGCCCCTCCCTGAGCTCTTGGCTCCTCCCCATCTCCCAGCCCACAGCAACTGGCCTCACTTTCAGACTGAAAAAGAGGAATTGGAGAAACCAACACCACCTGTCCTTCGCACAGCCGCTGGAGCCAGACAGCCACGCATTTGAGCTGAGCACTGGACCTGAGCTCAGAGTCTGTTGCCACCAGAAAGCCATGCACAAGCAGCGATGTTTGCTATCAGGCTGGCCAGAGGGCTCTACCCCAAGAGGCCTGCAGCTGCAGGGAGATACAAAGCTGCTAGTGTCCAGGGCAGATCTTTGCCTTCTCCCAAGGTGGCTGGGCTGGTGAGGTCCCTTACAGTGTGCGGCCGTCTCTGGGGACGACGGTAGCCAGGCCTGACTGACAGATAGGGAGTTGAGGACTCTGTGAGGTGTGTGGTGCATATCTAGACACTTTTCTTGTAGTATCTCTGAGAGGGACTCTGAGGACACCCCCGCCCCCAGTGGCTTTATTGTCATTTGTCCTTACTGCTGCTTTCCATGGAGGGTCAAAGGTGAAGAGCAGTGTCAAAGGTCATCCATGTTGCAGGTGAAGGGTGCAGGATCCCACCCCAGCGAGCACCACCTGCGTTCTGGGTTTCGCTCCCCACCCTTGCCTCTCTTTCCTGTTGTTCTGAAAAGCTGTGTTGCCCCCTCAAAGCCAAGCCCTTCCCTCCCCCACCTTCCTGCCTCAAGAGACCCTTCACTGCCATCCCAGGGGAGCCAGCTGTCACCTGTGACAGCTCAGAGTGTGACAGTGAGGATAAACCTTAATGCATTTCCCAAGGACCCCAATGACCTCCCTCACCCTGATTTCAGTCACAGGTCTCAGTCAAAAGCCCTGATCTAATAGGGGTAGGATCTGTGTTCTCTGAGGAGCCAGGTAGCCAGGGACCCGTACAGGCTGAGCCACATTGGTCCACAATGGCCAGCAAGGGTACAGCCCCTGCTATTGTGGATGCTGAATGCTGTCTCCCACATCCCTACCTGCTCCATCTAGAGCAGGCTGCTCCCGCATTCCATCACCTGCTCCATCTAGAGCAGGCTGACAGTGCCAGGCTGTCACCCCTCATACAGGGAGTAAGCAGAAGCTTACAGAGGCGAGAAGTCTGTGCACATCCGGTGACAGGGGTTCATCCCCAGTCTATGGCCTCCACCCCCTGCCATGTCCCCAAGTGACTGACTCCTCAGTTCCTCTTCTTTTCCTAAAGTCCCCACAAGGAGGCTGAGGGGCCTGGACCGTGTCAGAAGAGCCCTCTGCCTCTCTTGGTGCTGCCCAGGCAGCAGCTGTCGGGTAAGGCTGTAAGACCA